ACACATATGGTATTACCATTAGGATAGTTCCATGCTTTTTCTTGAAGATGGAGCTCTCTTTGGGATTACTGAAGGCTCACTACCTTTAACTGTCTGAAACTGCATTTTACATTGCTCACTTCTTAGTATGCCTGCAAAGTACACTAAGGTAAGTAACTGCTGACCACATAGGAAATTTAGGATTCCCTGCCACTAAAAAGGGTCCTTCAATAAAAACTGCTGGTTTCATGTGGCAAATGAAAGTACTGATTTATTTTGTATGCAATTTCTCTTACCAATTCAATATCTATTCAAATATCTGAAAAAGAAAAGCAGCTCTTCAGTATCTGCAATGGTTATGGGGAACCTGTTGCTTTTTATTTGGAAGCACATTTTATAGAAGTTGCACATGCTAAAAATTGGCCAGGTGAGCTTAAAATGAGAGCATTTCCATTTCTTTTTAGCTTTTTGAAATGAATCACAGAATATTCTGTGTTGGAAGGGACCTACAAGGATCAGCAAAGTTCTGAAAGGCTTGACTTAATATAGAAAAAAGGCTTGTCTTAATACAAGAAAAAATAAGTCTACTATTGTGATATACCTTTAGTTACCATTCTAATTTTTTGTGAGTGACCACCATTCTGGTGTTGTCATTCGATTTACTCTGCAATTGCTAATAATTGGAGTGGGGAAGAGGAGAGAGCAGGGCTTACATGCATTATGATGATTAAACCAAATTCCATTTCTGGAAAAGTAAAGATCTCCAAATAGTCTTCTGACAAAGACCTTATGATGACCTTATTTTTGAGGTATGGTTTTTTTGTTTGTTTGGGGTTTTTGGGGGGAGAAGGATGGGGAGGATCTTATGGTTTTGATATTTTTTCTTCTTTTTAGCAGGAGCTGGGGGAGTTGTTTAATTTCCCTTGTTTGGAGAGAGTGATATGTTAATGTCAGATAATTGTGAGTTGGATTTTCTGTTAATTCTTGAGACACTGAAGTTTTTCCAAATGTCTTGAACTCCACTTCCCACCACTTGAATATTCTACATTCTTTGTAAAATTTTCTCTGCAATTTTGAGACCTTCATTTAAGATTGTTACTTGATCCCAGAAGGTGATGTTTAAAATTTAAGAAAACAAAACAAAACTAAAAAATAAACAGCCCCCCAAACAAATTAACAGAAATGGCCCACAGAACAACTCCCTTGCAACAATATGGGAATCGATACTGTTGGAATTTATTTGAATTCTAATAGGAATATAGCAGTGGTGAGGACATAGGTGAGGACAGGAAACAGTATAACTAGTGTCCGAGTTAAACTGGGGCATTACTGTGGATTTGGTGGTGTCTTTGACGATGACAAGCTGTAGATTTGTGCTTTCTGCCCATTGCAGTGATGAGTGCTTGCAGATGACACCGAGTTGGGCAGGAATGCTTGTGTGCTGTTGTGCAGGAAGGCTCTCCAGAAGGATCTGGACAGGCTGGATTGATGGGCCGTGGTATGAGGGCCCCCAAGGTGAAGTGCTGGTCCCGCCCATGGGTGCCAGCAGGCCCATGGAGTTGTCAAGGCCGGGGGAAGAATGACAAGAAAGGGCAGGGTGTGCTGGTCGACTGGCTGAGTATGAGCCCGCATGACAAAGAACAGCAATGGCATCTGGCTGGTATCAGCCAGGGTGTGGCCACATGCCCAGGGCAGTGACCACTGCCCTTCACTGGGCCCTGGTGAGGCCTGCACCTTTAATCCTGAAGTCAGTTTTGGGGCTCTCCACTGTCAGAAGGACAGTGAGGGACTAGAGTGTGTCCAGAGAAGGGAATGGAACAAGGGAAGGGTGTGGAGCACAAGTCTCATGAGGAGAAGCTGAGGTAGCTGAGGAGAGTCAGCCTGCAGAAAAAGAAGGCTCAGGGGGAAACCTTGCTCTGTGCCATCCTCCCTGACAGGAGGATGCAGCCAGGTGGGAGTCTGGCTCTGTTCCCCTGGAACCAGTGACAGGATGAGAGGAAATGGCCTCAAGAAGTGCCAAGGGAGGTTTAGGTTGGATATTAGGAAAATTGTCTTCACAGAAAGGGTGATCAGGCACTGCTGACCGCTGCTCACAGCAGTGATAGACTTGCCGTCCCTGGAGGGATCTGAAGCACCAGGCAGTGCCCGTGGCAGCTGGCAGTGCTTTTCCTAGCTGTGTAGATGTGATGCTTAGAGTTGCATTAGGGCCACCACGGTTGCGGATTGGTTGCATCCAAGGCCACTGCAGTTAGGGATGCATCCAAAAGAGGACTGCAAAGATGGTGACAGGTCTCCAGGGAAAGCCATAGGAGGAGCTGTTGAGGGCTCTTAGCTTGCTCAGTCTGGAGGAGTCTGAGGAGAGACATCATGGCACTCTGCAGCTTCCCCCCAAGGGGCACTGGAGGGACAAGACAATGACCTCTGCTCTCTGCGGCCAGTGACGGGACCTGAGGAAACCACTGGAGCTGTGTCAAGGGACATTTAGGCTGGACATCAGGAAAAGGTTCATCCCCTAGAGGGGGTCAGGCCCTGGTCATGAGCCCAACGCTGTCAGAGCTCAAAAAGCATTTGGACGAGTCTCAGGCATGTGGTGTGATGATTGGAGCTGTCCTGTGCAGGGCCAGGAGCTGGATTTTGATGATCTCTGTGAGTCCTTGAGTGCTCAGGATATTCAATGGTTCTAAATTACCCCAATTCCCTTAATTTAGAAGTGACTTCAAATGAGATATGGGATGTAAGTGGAGAGCAAAGCCAGCGCTCTTGCACTTGTGAAGAGGTTTGGGCTGCAGTGGAGAAAAGAAAGGATGTAAACGGTTCAAGGAGCTAAAGCCAGTCTCAGAAGATTGGCTGCAGATCCCTTTCATCTGCTGTGCACCAGACGGCAAACATGTGAGAGCAAGGAGAATCCAGGTTAAGGGAGGCCGCTGTGGGAGATAGCTCAGCAGCTTGTGCTTTGGGTGGGGCTGTCTGAACTAGTCTGGGGCTAGACTAAACAGTTGTTAATGCTGTAACTTACAAAGGCCAGGATTTTGTGCTGCAACGTGGAGTGGAATTACATCATCTACCGCCGGCGCCGGGGGGAAGGAGCGCGGGCGGCCACGGCGAGGCGGCGCTCGGTGACGTGACGTGGCTGCTGCCGCCGCCGCGGCCGCGGATTGGCTGCGGCCGAGGCCGCTCCGGGCGGGGATTGGCTGCGGCGGGTCAGCGGGGCCGCGGCGGCGGGAGCGCGCCCGTGTGTGGCTGGGCTGCCTGCGCGTGCTGCTCGGCGGGCCCGCGGAGCCTCCGGGGTGGGAGAGCCCCGCGGCCGCCGCTGCCTCCTCAGGGGCGCCCAGGGCCCGGCCCTGCCGCCGCCGCACAGCCCCTCCTGTGCTGCGCAGCGCTTTATAGGCTGGATCTGGCGGAATGAACTAACACCAGGCTCCTGCGGTACTGCCTGTGAAGCGCTCGGAAGGGTTCCGAGGCCAGGACAAGGTGCTGCTCTGCCGCGCCAGGCAGTGCTGCCGTGACCGCACTGCACTGCTGGGGTGCGTTCTTGAGAGACAGGAATCGCGTGGTGCTTGCTGCTCTGAATGCCACTTCCCTGCGCGTTTGCCATCTGCAGAACCCCGGTGAACCTGTATGCAAGCTGCTCTAAAGACCATTTATTTGAAATTTTCATTTATTTTAGTCAGTTCTTCTGAACTGGCTTCTCTCTGGGAATGTTTCTAGGGTTAAAGTTTGCAGGAAGAGCTTCAGATTGGGTTTTTCCCCCCCTTGCAGTTGGTAAGGTAATGAAGCGGTTTAAATAATAAAAGCCTCTGAATGTTACCGAAGACTTAAAATTTGTGTTGTGGGAAAGACTTCGTAGAAATTGTGTGCATTTCCTTTGAACTTGTTTTATCTCTATTTCTGTGCTTAAGTGTTTTGCAAAATAGTTCTATCGATCAGAGTTTGACTTCCAGATTTTTTCACTTGCGGATGTTTTAATGCTCAGATATTTGCCTTTATATCTAAAACTGTGAAAACAGCTTATTTAGTTTAGTCAATTTACTAAAAGTAATTGTGGACATGCTATGGCTCTGCAGTCAACAGACTGAACAAGCAGTGTTATAGACTCTGGTTTTCAAGACACAAATTTTAGAATTTGAGATCGCTGGTTGCTTTGGAGGGTAACAGTCTACACTGATCTGGAACAGCATCTAAATGTACTTTGCTACTTAACAGCTGTTTTTATGATAATAAGTACACGAGAACTAGGTCATGGTATTGCTTTCTGTGAGCAATAATACAAGGATAACTTTCATTATTTAAAAAGGTAGCAGGAAAATTATATTTTTAAAGGTCACATTTGGAGACTAATTTGGAAGAATTAGGTTCTTCTGGTAGTGGAAAAAAAATTTTAAGCTGATGCTAGGGGGAATACCTGAATAATGCGTTTTGCTTTTTTTTATTGCTTCCTCCAAGTAAGGCAGGAAAGTTATATTTTTCAAAAAAATGTTTTTAATTCTACACCTTTTTTTAATTTTTGTCACTGAATCTCGGAACCCTTCCAGCTATGGAAGTGGTGGAAATGTGAATGGAATGGAAAATGAGGATTAAAATTAACTTTAAATCCTTGAGTGAGTGAAAGGACAGAAGGAGTTTGTTAGCCTGAAAGAAAGGCTGTAGTTACATACCCTAAACTGTGTTCTGTCTGTGTTTTCAGGCACCATCCATTTCCATTTCACATACTGATACTTGCTGCTGTTTTAAACTCTGTTTTCTTGCTAACTTGCTGTCCTTGCCTTCTCTCACAACCCAGTTTCAAAAACATGCTGTATTTTATAATCTTTTTTCTTCAAAAGATCCACACTGACACTCCTCACTCTTCATTGTCTGCCTGCTTTTAGCCAAGTTGTCTCCGGCAGATGGGAGAGAGCCTTCCAAAGGACAAGGTTGCTCTGAGTTGCAGCAGCCCGTAGTGAGGCTGTGTAGTGTTCTCAGCAGAGCAGCAGGAGCAGCAGAGGAGATGGCACAGTTTGGTCTGGCCAGTGTGGGTCTGTATTCTGTGACAGCCAGGAGGTTATTGCTGTAGCTGGAGCTGAAGGTCTGACAGGAGAGGTAAGAGGAGGTGTCTGCAGGTGAAACTTGAGGTAGCGTGCCCATTTCTGTCCTTTAAGGGGCACAGTCTGCACAGGGAGCTGAAGGGGACTGGGCAGTTCCGCTCAGGGCGTTTGTTGTGGAAAGGGGTCTGGCTAAAGAACCTGCTGTTTGCCAGCTCACGTGAGGAGTGCTGGATCTCTGAGACCCAGCTAAGACCCCCTTGAGAAGGCAGTGTCGAACAGAAGAGGTCAAGGTGAGCTTCAAGGTGGAGGGTTGAAACATGAATAGTGGGAATTGTGCAGCCCCTGAGGCAGCTGCATGAGGTGCCTGGTGAGGGTTCAGAGGGGGAAACCTTCGTCTAGGTACTACTGGTCCCCTGCTTTAAGCTTACCCTGTTATGAGAAGAGAACTTTGTGACAGCGTGGCATGATCTGCTCAGAATCCTTTGTCTGCCTCATCCTGGAAATACAGAACTGTGAAGGATGTTGCAGATTAATATTATTAAAGTGCCATGCAATGTAAGCTTTACTAGACAAAACAGGAGGAGCATTATGTGCTGGTGGCTGCCTTGTCTAATGTAGATGTGTATATTTTGGTAAGGATTTTAATGAGGGATAATAGTACCCTGATGCAGAGTAATGAGGCCTCTTCAAGGGTCCTCTTTTCAATGCTTCCTCTGTACCATAGTTTGTGCAGTTTTTTTACTTTATTTCAATGTTGCTGGAAAATGGATTGAAAGCAATGAAAGGAAGGAAAATTTTGTAAAAGGGGAAGGAGAGGTTTTGTGGTTTAAATGCTATCTGTCTGGGAGAACTGGGTTCTTCTTAATCTCATTTGTTTCCATGGTGAAACTGGATGCATTACTTGAACTTGACCTGTCATAAGAGATGGGTAATTGTATATCCCTTGTTTGCTGTGTACTTACTCTAGTGAACTTTAGAGTTAGAAGAATCCTGAGTGTTTAAAGGTTTAGTCAAGGGAAACTAATGCCAAGTGCTTGGAAATTTGTGTCTTTACTTGTAATCATGGATAAGTAATTTGATAGTGCTCAGGGAAAAGCGAATGAGCATATTTCCTGTATTGAATAGGGCTGAGATTCATGAAAAATCTAGTAAGATGCTCTGTTGTGAGGTGTACAGAGAAGTCTATATGATAGAACCTCTCTACTTCTATCTTTTTCTTCCAGGCTTCTCCATGATAAAAATATTACTTTTATCCATTGTAGGTACATTCACTAATAGTGGTTTCCCTTCTCAGGGAGCCATGCTTTATTCTTTACCTTTAATAAAGATCTGGCAGCAAGTAAGGAAGAGGGGCCTTCAGTTCTTCTATGTCATAGTCTGTGTGCAAATTCTGCAAAATGGAGAGTTGTCATGAGGAAATTGTATTAAGATGGTACAGGAAAAGAGGAGTTGGACTGAGGGAGTGGGCGAGGAGAGAAATACAGATGAAAAGTCATTGTTATTTAACCATCCTCCGTTCATTTTAACTTGCAGATATCCTTGGTTTGCAGAAGGCATCTCAGAATGTTGTGTCGAGCTGCTCTGAGCCCGCTTGTCCGTTCCCCTGGATGGTGCTGTGTCTCACCTCCACATGTCACCGCAGCCATTTCTCGTTTGTGTATGTATGAGAGAAAGCACACATTGCTAAAATGTTGGGCAGTATGTGTCTGGGCATGCCTCTGCTCTTTCCTGTGCTGGAAGGAAAACCACCTCATTAACATCATTGAAAACTTACAGCCTCTGAAGTGAGCTGTAGTTGAAGCTCTACTTTCTCAATGTTACTTTCTCCCTTAACTCAGTAATATTCAGCTGGATGTCTGTGTATTTTTCATTCTGACGTACATTTCAAGGAAAAAAAAGTTGTAAAAGTAATGCTGCTGTATAAGTTCCTTATTTCAACCTCATACATTCCTGGAAAACAAGATCTGATTGTGTCTGCTCCTGCATTTTCAGATGTCTTGAGTAAAGCAAAGGACAAAACTCAAATTTACTTGTATTAAATTCAAGTGGAAAGTGCATGCAGGTTTTATATAGTTTAAATACATAGGTGCCCTGTTAATAGTTCTTCCCTGAAAACCTAATTTGAGAGAAACATTCAATGTCTGCTTGATTAATGGTCTGAAATATGGAAGGTAAGGATAGATAAACTCTATTAGATCAAGAGAGTAGCTGTTTACCATTGCATGCAAGAATTATTTCCCACTGGTCTGTCTGCTAATAGTTTTCTTTTATTAATAACTATATTAATTAGATGTTAAAATCTTGAAACTTCTAAACTTTTCATTTATGAGCTACAGCTCTGTTGACTTCTGTATTTGTAACATTTCTAAGTATTCCTCATTTTCTGAAGTCAGTAATTTTCACAGTGCTACCTATGAGAAGTTTGTTCCCAAGTATTGGTAGTATCTAGCAGTGGAGTGACTCCTGTCACTTCATCAGTTGTGGTCTAAAGCTGGAGTCATCATTTATGACAGGAATTTTTTTTTTGTTCTCCACTGTTTTCTGTTTGTTCTCCACATTTTTTCCTGTTCTGTTCCACTTGTGTATTTTGAAATTCTGCTTCTTTACTCCTGAGAAGCAAGCCTTGTGCAGGCTACACAGTGAAGGATCTGCAGTTCAAGTACTGAAGTATGTTTCATGTGTGTCCCTTTATTAAGGAAGTGAAACTGTTGACAGGTATGGGATATAAAAACTGGAATCCCTTTAAGCCTACTTGTCCAAAACCTGGACTGGATGGCTATGTCAGTTCCTTCCTAATTGCATGTGGAGCAAATTAATGGACTTGCATCTCCATAAATGTTTTACATGTGTAACGTGGGAGCCAATTTCACATCTCAGTACAGTGTAAAATGACTAAAAGACGTAGATTTATGGGGCCGTAGAACAAGAGTAATGATTAGGACTTTAGTGAGGATGAATTGAATTCTCTGCTTGTTCTAGAGCTGTGGTCTTTTCCTTTATTTTTCTTTGAAAAAGTAAAGGGTTTCTTCTCAGATACTAGTTAGCTCTCAACAGCTACCTTCTTGGAACCTTCTAAACCCTGAAGCCAAGAGAACTGGAAATAAACTCCTTTCTGATTATACTGTGTAGGTTAGGCAAATACTAAATAGCAGAGTGTAATGTTCACTGACTTGTAAAGATGCCTCTGCATCTTCAGATGATACATTAATTAGGATTGACTAGAATAGAATAGTTAGTTGTAAGACACTTGGAGTGGTCAGCTAGTCCCACAGCCTGATGCCTCAGGACTGCCCAAAGCTAAAGCACACTCTGGGCATTGTCCAAATGCCTCCTGAGCATTGACAGGCTTGGAGCACAAACACATCTTCAAGAGGCCTGTTCAAGGGCTTGAACAACACCATGTCACCATGTGACTTGGAGTTCATATATCTGTCATGCCCCTTCATTTTCGCTAGTTGAGCAATGTGCAAAAATACCTGGCTTAGAGATTTTGTAAAAGCTATGTTTCTTTTCTAAAAATCAGGCTTTCTGTGCTACTTCAGACAGGAAAACTCTCTGAAGCTGTTATCTAATGAGGCAAGGCAAAGTAGATTGTTTTTAAAACTAGTCCTTGAGATGTGAGCTATATAGGCTCTTTTACAGTGTCTTTTAGTTTGGTCTTCTAGATTCCCAGAGTCAGAGCTCTGTGTTGCATGGGATATTGCCTTCTATACCTTAGGAATGGTTAATGCTGCTCAGATACTCCTGTTTCTCACTTTGTTTCAGTGAATTCAAGGCTAGCTTCTCATTCTCAGTTACAGGGAAGTTTATTGTGAAGGGTCAAAAGTCTCAGTGAAACACTTAAAACTGGTTTGTTTTTTTTTATTTCTTTCTCTGTCCACAGATCTCCCTTGCCAAAGATTAAGGAATGAATCCATCCGTTGTTGGAGCAACATTCCATTTATCACCATGCCACTCAGCCGTGCCCATGGAAAATCATTTGCACACCGCAGTGAGCTGAAGCATGCAAAACGGATTGTAGTAAAGCTGGGTAGTGCTGTTGTTACTCGAGGGGATGAGTGTGGCTTGGCCCTTGGGAGGCTGGCTTCTATTGTAGAGCAGGTAATTCTGAACATTTGCGTTTACTTCAGGTATTCAGTGATTGTTGGATGCTACAGAACATTGTAGTAAACCATCATAAAATATTGATACTCTTTAAAACAATGTGTTCACCTTTCCCTTTTCAACCCCCTATGATGCAGTACTATAAACCAGGTAACTCAGTAAATTGTTTTTTGAAGGTGTGGTGGGTTGATCCTGACTATCAGCTAAGCATCCACACAGATTCTTGTTTGCTCCCCTCACCTGTTCCCACCACCAGTGGGATTGGGAAGAAAACAGGAATAGCAAAAGTAAGAAAACTCATGGGTTGAAATAAAGATTTAATAAATCAAGGAGAGGGGAAAAGAAATCTGTGATGGCAATCGCTACCTCACACAAGCAGACCAATGCCCTGCTAGTTCTTGAGTCATGGCCACCTTGGAAGATAACCTCCTGCATCTTGCTGTTCTGCAACTCTATTACTGTGTGTGACATTATATGATGTGAGGAGTCCCTTTGGCCAGTTTAAGGTTAGCTGTCTCAAATGTGTCCTCTCTGAACTTTGTGTCCAGCTGCTACCTTACCTGCTGGGATTGAACATAGTGGAACAAGGAAAGCCTTGATGACTGTGCTAATGCTGCTCCTCATGGGGGAAAGATGAGGCTTTGATGCTGTGCAAGCACTATTTAGCAATAGACAAAACATTGGAATGTTACCAAAACTGTTTTAGAACTGAAATCTGAAACACAGTATCATACAGACCCCTGTAAAGAATGTTAACTCCATCTTGACCAAACCTAATATAGAGGGAGAAATTTGCACAGTGATAATTTTGTGCAGTAAGTAAGACATGGGGCACTAGTTGTCCGTAGTGGGAAGGTGGCACTGAAGGATGTGAACTCTGCAAAATGAGTCAACCCTTCTTGATCACCTGAGCATTAGCAGAGTTCCTCCAAAGAAAAGCCTGAAACCTCATTACTTGTAGGAAAAACTGATGGGATCAACTCATGTATTTCTTCTCCAAAATTAAAGGATTATCTTGGTGAGCACTGAACATGTTCTTTCTGGGAAGTAAAGTTAAGCTAATACATGTAACTCATGTAAGACATTTAGCTTTGGGGCTTTGAAAGGAATCTGGTCCGATAAATGTAACGAGGAAGTAATCAAAAGCTTTACTATTGGAAGTTGGCCTCTTCACTTCTAGAATTCAAAGTTACTGTATAATGGTAGCTTTGGGAATGGAGGGATTCAAGTATTTTTCTGTCACAAAAGCTGGTCTTGTGAAAAGAAGGTTTGTAAGAAGTTATAGATTGCATGCAGTCCTTGGCATAGCTTCCAAGTGGCTGGGAAAGTGTGCAGAAGTATCATGAAGGGCGATTGCTTTGCTTTGCACATCCATCGAGAAATCAAAATCCTTGTGTCAGCAGGAATTGGTGAGCACAAGGTTATAGTAGCCAGGACTGTTTTGCTCTCACTGATCATATGCCAGGCACTGTTTCTTATTTCCTGTACTTACAGGTCTCAATGCTGCAAAATCAGGGCCGAGAGATGATGATTGTCACCAGTGGGGCTGTAGCTTTCGGAAAGCAGCGGTTGCGTCATGAGATATTGCTTTCTCAGAGTGTGAGACAAGCACTTCATTCAGGCCAGAGTCAGCTAAAAGATATGGTGAGAGTCTGGTGGCACTCCTGCTTTTCCCTGAGTGTTGGGTACTGCCTGTTCAAGTCCTTGCCTGACCAGCTGCTCTTTGTCTCTGTAGGCTATTCCGGTCTTAGAGGCCCGAGCCTGTGCAGCAGCTGGACAGAGTGGATTAATGGCTCTGTATGAGGCCATGTTTACCCAGTACAGCATCTGTGCAGCTCAGGTAAGGCACTCCTTCTTTCCTAGATTGACTTGATACTTTTGGACCTTATTGTTGTCACATAAATGGTAGTGTATACAAGAATGCCTTGCTAAATATTTTGGAAACTGAGTTATCTATTATTAAGATAAAATGAATATGCTTTTTCTTTTTGGAGTTCAGATATGTCCTGCTCTTTTATAGGCAGGGAGGATCTGTTAAGATCTCTTCACAAAACCTGAAGTTGATGGTCCAAAGGGAGGGTTTAAAAACTGCAAGTGGCTAAACTGCAACGCCTTTTGTAAAGCTGACAGAAGTACATATCCACACTTCAGAACTTGCTGTCCATCTCCTCTTGGAACCTTTCCAACTTGTGGATGATGTATCCCTGGCCTGGGTCTTAGACTGTGGGCTGCAAGTTGAATTACTCTTGTATCAGTTGAATTACTCTTAAACAGGCTTTGCGTATCTTAGATACTCTGAAAATGCAGAATTGCTTTAACTGTAAGGCCTTATTTGTTTAGACACTTTTAACAAATTTAGGAGCCTAGTATGACGTTTTCTTGGAGGAACTCCTTACTGTAATATGGTAGAGCCAATATGTCCAAATTGTTTATAACATAGCTAAAAATCATGATAGGTCATGCTGGATTGTAATCTTGTTCAAATCTGTAGATAACCATAATTCCTTTGATATAAAATAATTAATTGCCCATGCCAAAAAGCTTAGCATACACATTGATTCCAAGTGCTGTTGTACATTTGAGTGGTGGAGTTGTTTGCTTAGTTCTCAAATGTCCAATGACAGAGTAAAAACAAAAAATAAATCTCTCCAGAGCAGACATTGAGGGTGTTTTTTGTCTTAAAACAAAAAACAACCAAAAGAAAGGGGTGCTATCTACATGCAGGAGGCAAGATGATTTCAGAAGAGCAAGTGAGTTCTAGTGAGTGGAAGAAAAGTTTTGATATAAAGCACCCCTTCTGCTCACTACAAGTAGGAGCATTAAAAAGGGAGGAAAAACTGGAAAGGCAGCATCTTGAGCAATCTATTGAATTGTCCATGGCCTTAGTAGTTATCGTGAGCATCTATGTTCAATCTTGTTTTCCAAGTTCATTCTTGGAACGTGTGACCTACCAGCTTGAGATAGGCTATTACAGACTTCAGTGGAATTCAGCTTCAGCTCATATTGTGGAAAGAATATTTCTCACTTTTAATCTATATCTTTTAAATGTGGGGCTTTTGTTTGTGTAGTGACCCAAAAGGCATGACTGCTCTGTTATGACATGTAAATACATAGGTTTATATGATGTTCTTACAGGAAAGGTGGTAGGCTAAATAGTTTCTTTTTTCCTCTTAGATTTTAGTCACCAATCTGGATTTCCACGATGAGCAGAAGCGTCGCAACTTAAATGGAACATTACATGAGCTTTTAAGGATGAATATTGTCCCTATCATTAACACTAACGATGCAGTTGTTCCACCTCCAGAGCCAAACAGTGATCTGCAGGGGGTAAATGTGGGTAAAGTATTGCAATGGAGGGGGGTCCTGCTTGCAGATGGTGCAGCACTAATGTGTACTTGACTAATGCCATAACAGGGGACTCTGAAGTCTGCAGCAGAGAAACAAAGATACAGAATTAGTATGTGGACAGAGAGTACTGGAAGACTCTCTGTATTTGGCATGATACAGTGTTGTGGGGTGAAACCAGGGCAAATATTGTCTGCTTTACCAAAAGCAAGCATGCCTCTTCAGCACTCCTTCAAACAGCGTCAGTTAGTTTTTGGTAAAACAGTTGTCAGTTAGACAGGGCCTCTTGCCCTGTCACTGGGCACTAAGGTGGAGAAATGGAAGTACTGATGACACTGCTTCTCATTTGGATACCACTTTACTGAAGCATATGTACTTTCACACAAAAATCACCTTTGAAGTTTCCAGTGGGTGTGAAAAAAGTAGCACAGAAGGACTTGTTAGTACTGAGGTAAATTGCTTTTTTATGTTGGCACCAAATATTTCTTAGTTCCTCACACTATTCACTGCTTCTGATATGCATGTGTATTGCAGGTAATTAGTGTGAAGGATAATGACAGTCTGGCAGCACGACTGGCTGTGGAAATGAAAACCGATCTCCTGATTGTACTTTCAGATGTGGAAGGTTTGTGAGTAATTTCTTTTATTTCTGATTTTAGTGAAACGTGTCAGATTGTCAAACCAACCTCTTTTCCAGTTTTACTTATCTCTTCAGTTCATCTGTTTTTCAAGGACAATTGCAATGTACTACAATAACTCCTTAAGGCCTATACCCAGTGTTGGTGCTGTGGCATCAACATTGGGTAAAGGCCTTAAGGAGTTATTGTAGTACATTGCAAACCAAACACTGTCTGACACACTGTGGAATCTGAGTGGGTGAGAATGCATGAGAACCTGAGACCTGTTCCAGATCCCAGAGTACCACATGTACTATGGTACTTCTGATAGCTTCTCAGAGTTGTATGATAGTCAGGAATAGTATGCAGGATAAAAGCTATGTGTCTTGAATCAGGAGTATAAACCAAATACTATTCTACAATAGTTTTTTTCTTCTGACGGCAGGTTCTGTCAGTGAATTATCGGTGTATAGCAAGTCGTGGTCATTGTTTTCCAGGTACCTGGATCTTGCTAGCTTTTTCTGTCTCCCTTACTTTTGACTTACACTGCTCTAGTCTTCTGAGCTGTGGTGTTGTGACATAAGCCTGTCACCTATGAATGTTGAACTTCCTGTTCTAGAGAGAGGAGGGTAATGGGTACAGTTTCAGATCAATGCAGTCCGGATCACCTTAAGTCACATATTCTTTTCATCTTCTCCAGATGGATTTCTTTCAGTAGATCCTGGCCTTCAGCACATGCGTGTGGCCCTGAGGAGGAAAGAGGTGTCTTTCCATAAGCACTGTTTCTTTTAGCAGATGCAGCTGGGTTTCATTCTAGTCTAGCTGGTTAATTCTGTCCTAGCTGGTTAATCCTGGTCAAAATGACTGTCTTAGAACTCAGAAATAGTCAAAAGAGTTTGTAAAAAAAACCCAAACCAGCCCACCTCTCCTCCAAGCTTATTCATTCAATGTGACAGCTTGTTTATGGAGAGATGTCCTCTACTTCCCAAGCTATCAAGGATGCGCACAGACAGACTGCACGTGTGCTCTCTAGTTTGTTGTGGCAGTATTTGTGCACATGGCATTTCTGGGAAGTGTAGTGGTAGAGCTGAAGTTTAGTATGTTGGGTAAATCAAAGTGTCATTCAATTCCAAGCGCAGTGACATTAAATTACTTGATTTTAAAAAATGCTAATAAGAGCATGTCTCTGTATTGTTGTGTTTCTTCTTAGTAGAATTGAATAGTTATCCTTTTTACATGTTTCTGAATTGCCTGTTTTCTCACTGTGCAATCCACCTTTCAAGAATATTGTGAGTGTTTGGTGAGGAGGACAATTCTTTGCCAGTTCAGTTTAGGGTTTGTAAGTTCAGTTGAGGTGTGTGTAAGGCCCGATTTTGAACATCTGAAAGCTGCAAACTGTCTCAAACCTCAACCAAATGTCATTACCTCCCAGCTTGCTTGCTGCTATTCAGCATATGGGCTTTTGGCTTCTTATTTTTAGGTCTTCAATAAACCTATACCTTTTAGGTCTGCCAGTTAAGAATTTTGTGCTTTGAGTCCCATGACAAGAAGGATTCAGTGGAAGTTTTCAATCCTATAAAGCGGAACACAGCTTTTTAGCCTCATGTTGATTGCTTTTGTTGTTTTCTCTTTTTTTCCTTTTTTCATGGGTGAGCTCTCGACATGAAGATATATAACTGATTTGTATGATTTATTTCAGGACTCTTTGACAGCCCTCCAGGGTCTGATGACGCAAAGCTTATTGACATATTCTACCCAGGAGATCAGCAGTCTGTAACATTTGGAACCAAATCCCGAGTGGGAATGGGTGGCATGGAAGCCAAGGTAGAAATATGGAACAATTACTTCACAATTGGGAAGGGAGAGGGAGCTACATGAGATGGTTGTGCTTTGTGCTGCTGGATGGATCTTGTGCTTCAGATGGATCTTGGCAGGTTGCAGGAATGGACAGGCAGGAACCTTAGGAGTTCAGTAAAAGGAAATGCTGAGTCTTATGCCTAGGGACACTGGTATGAGCTGGAGAACTGACTGCCTTGAATGCAGGTTCAGTGAAAAGGGCATAGGGATCCTGGTAGACCCCAAATGGGATGTACACCAGGAATATGGCCTTTGGGCAAAGCAAGCTAACCAGGGTTGTATGGAAAAGAACACAGCCAGCAGGTTGAGGAAAATTATTACTTTCATCTACTCAGCACTAGTGAAACCACATCTGTGGAGTTGTGTGTGGTTCTAGATACTGCAGTACAGGAAGGGCATGGCATGCTACAGTGAAACCAGCAGAGAGACATGAATATGAATAAAGAATTGGAGCACTGTCACACTAAGAGAGGCTGAGAGCTAGGATTGTTTACACTGGAAAAGAGAAGGTTTGGCTATAAGTAGCTGAGGGAAGAGTTTACAGAAGGCAGAACAAGATTCTTCTTGGTGGTATCCAGGGAATGGACAAGAGGCCATGGGCTCAGAATGAAATACAAGTGAATAAACTGAAATGTGAGAATTTTACAATGAGGTTGCTGAAGCACTGGAGCAGGTTGCCAAGAGAACTTGTGGATTCTCTATTTGGAGATGTTCAAAACCGGGCTGGATGATGCTTGCTCTAGTTGACCCTGCTGTGAGCAGGCAGTCGGACTATATGATTTCCAGGGATCCTTTCCAGCCTCAACTATTCTTTGAGTACCCTGAAATGGTATGTGGATTCCTTTTGCTTTTCTTTTAGGTCAGTGTGAATTGAAAAGAGCAAGTAAAGAATTACACTCAAGTAGATTTTAAAAGGTGACATTTGGATCTGTATTTTTGTGGTTTAAATTAGAGTCCGTCTCAATTCTTTCATGTGTGATAATTCAAAGACTTTGGGAATCCCTGTCTCTTAAATCTGATATGGTACCTCCCTCTCCTTTCTGAGTTTGTACAATGTACTGTTTGCTTCTGAAGGATATATTGGTGGAGACCAAGGTACTTCAGTTTTTGAGCGCAGGATTAGTAGAGGTGGGAGGGCTAATGGGTTTTAGTCCTGTGTACAGTCAGGTGGTCTCAGTATTCATTGCTGTGAGTAGATAAACATGGGTGTGTTTGACTGCAGCATATGTCTCTCATGAGGCTGAGATATGCACTGCTGTAGTATTAATTGCTGCAGGTTTCCCTGGGACGTATCTGGAAAGTTGTCTGTAAAAACCAAAGCAAATCTTGACTAAGCAGGAAAAGACCAAAGTAAAATTCTTCACCAGTTATGTTGTTGATTATTCCCTTTTCTGAACACTCAGGTAAGGCACACTCTTAGGTATCAGAGCATGGGCTGGAAGGTGGCAAAAAGAGGAGGCATTTGTAACTATGGAATGTACAAAGCTTATTCAGGAATGACTTTCTTTTATCTGGCTTCTAGGATAGTTCAAATAATTCCAGGTATTGAAGGTAAAGCTGCCAAGGTTAGAGAGTACTTTATTGTGAAAGTAATAATCTGTAAAAGTTACTTGCTGTCTTTTGAGTCACATAGAGGCAAATCTTGATGCAGATGTTGTAACAAAAATTTACTACAGTTGAGAATGTAGGAGACATTTTTGGAAAACTGTAGCATCAATAATAGAAAACAGTGGCTCAAAGAACAAATCTTGTTTTTTAGCGTGAAATTTGAGCAATAATGAAGTGGCTGATGATCTTTTGGTAGCTGAGTTTGATGGAATAGGCCTATCTTACATTTGTGTCTCATAGTGACTGTAGACTGTAATACCAAATTTTAGAACCATATTAGGAATGCATAGAAGTGAGTAAGCAGAGAAGCTTTTGCAATTAAATAAATGACACATAGTTAAATATAAGTAGTGGATAATATTGCCCATATTGGCAAATACTTGACTGGGAAAATAAATGAAGGAAATCACTGGCAGTACCTCTTCAGCAGATAGCATCTTGGATTTGAGAGAAATAATATTCTGCTCAAAAATGTGCAAAGAGGCTAATCTTAGGACCAGTCAGTACACAGGGATTTCAAAGGACCCTTACTAATGAGCTAATAATTATGTAAACTTAGCATACTGTAGAAGGATTAAGCAAATATCAGTATTCCAGCACTGAAGTTCAGAGATTCCCAAAGTGTGTTGAATGCTCTTTGAAAGCATAAGCGATCAATCTGGCCATCAGAATGGACCAAGAACTCTTATTGAGAGCGGTGATTGAAATAACCAGTGGATCTCTTGCAACTGGCTCTGTCCTTTCCTGTAGGTGAAAGCAGCTCTGTGGGCCCTGCAAGGAGGCACTTCAGTAGTGATTGCAAATGGAACTCACCCAAAGATCTCAGGTCATGTCATCACAGATATTGTAGAAGGGAAAAAAGTAGGAACTTTTTTTTCAGAGGTAAAACCTGCAGGTGAGTACAGAGTTAATGTGTACCTTGAAGTTGTGGAGATTTCCTGAAAAATTAGAGTTAAAATTTGTCTAGAGCTGTGCGATAACTGGAAAACCACTCTCTGTTTGCAAAATGGATTTTGAAAGATATTTTCTGAAGTAGGGGTAGAAACTGCTGAATTCCCTGCTCTTCTTCCCTCCAGCTGATAAACCAGTACATCAGACTTGCATTTGAAGAATGCAGTGAGTAGAGTAGAAGTTTTGCCTTTTGTAGTCTTAAGAGTTATCATCAAGTATCCATGATTTCACTCTGAGAATATGGATATAGAATGTGCTACTGAACATAGGTAGTGTTTAGGTTTATTTTTTATCATTAATTTCTTTTATAACTCAGTCTTCTAGTATGGTAGGTAGGAGTGTTTTCCTGTCACTGCATTGCTGGAACTGTGTGATAAAATCAGACCAAAGATCCTTCATCTTAGCAGAATAGATACTGGGGTGGTACTTTTGACTTTCACTTTTAGCCAAGTGAATTTCTTTGTGTATAGGAATCCTTAACGGATTTCTTGTATAAATATGTCAGATCATCCTTTGAACGCACTTGGTGTCGTTATGCTCAAGTATCTTTTTGGTTAGCCTCACTATAATAAGTTGGTATCAGCAGTAAAGCTTCTAATCTTGTGGTCCCGTTTTGAGTCACAAATATTGTAAGTAGCAAAAGTCTGTTCCTGTGGACTGTTGTGGTCTTTATTCCGATCATCTCTTTGTCTTGTATCTTCCAAAAGCCACACTTTGGAAATTCAAGTAACTTTAAAAAGTGAAGTATATCGCTTTCATACGTAATTTTTCTCCAAGAATAATAAAAAATGCCATATTTTGTAATCACTTCAAGAAGCTGGGTTAAGATGTCTTAAATTAGTCCAATTATTCTCATGTCCACACGTTCTTTTCTTACATTTCCCGCTATACCTTCTATAATTTCTACTCTGGCAGTTTCCATGGGACTCTTCTTAAATGGAAGTTGGGTTCAAGATACCTGGTTTACAGGCTATTTCAAGAGAGTTGAAAATGGCAGATTTTTCACAAGCTACTTGAGAATTCTTTGCAGAAATGCAACCTGAATACGGTGACTTGAAACAGAAACACAATCTATTTTCCGCACCTTGCTTCTAAAATGCATACATGCAAAGGCAGGGAAAGCAATTTTTCTGCAAGCTGTTACTAGGGTTTTGGTTTCCATTATTGTTTGTGTGCTCCCATGCATACATTCCTCAGCTGGATACTTAAACTTATCAAAGTTTGCCTCTTTTCTTTCAGTAGCCTACTATGCCCTAGTGACTTAGGTATCCTGTTGTTCTTTTGGCCTTTATCGAGCCTTTTTGATACATGCTGCACACTTGCTGTTACACAGAGACAGAATCTTTGTGATGATTCTTTATGTAGGGGTCATAACAGTATTTTTGTGTCAGGTACAGACTTTTCTGTATTAGGATACAACATTTTTCTTGAATTTGTCTGTTAAAAACTGTTTCATGCTCTAAATATGCTCTAAGTAAAGAATTGGAAGACAAATGGGCTAGTGCTCAATTCTGCCTGTGCTGTTACTTTGTCTGCATACAATATTTTTGGGGTTTTTTTGCAGGCCCTACTGTGGAACAGCAGGCTGAAATGGCTCGAGCTGGTGGCAGGACCTTGGCGGCTCTACAGCCTGAGCAGGTGACAGAACAATGTGACCAAATTGTTAATAATGTGCATGCGTGGCAAGTTTTACAACATGGGCTTATAACATAAATGAACCTCTTGGGACAAGAATCTGTTATTTCTGTGTCAGATCCATCGTTTGTATTGTAGCCTGCTTAAAGATGATAAAAGCAAAGATCATGTTCCTTGGGGTTGTGAAGTAATATGAGCTTTCATGTGGGGTTTTTAAAAATTTTGATAGCATCAAGTAACAAACAGAAGTGAATTGTGATTCAAGCTGCTGAAGAATTGGCTGGAATAACTTGCTCCATTCACACCTGAGTTTAGCATACAACATGTATACAAAAGTGGAGCTGTAGACAATTACTACTCTGCAGCTAGGTGAGTATGATGTGGTACAAGGTAGTCTTAAAGGGAGAACATGTGAGTTTGGTGAAGAAGACTGGGAAAGGAAAGCAAGATAATAAAGAGTAAGGTAAAGGCTGAAGCAGTGTTTGGTCTTCTTTTTCAGTGTGATGCTGTCAGGAAAAGTCAGCTGCCCAAGTATCAGGAAGGTTAAGACAGTGAGAGGATGTGGTCAGCATAAATGGACTATAGGAACTAGGTGTCAAACAGCATGGACTTTGAGTAAGGAGTCAGTTTAGAAAATGTTTTCTCTTTCAGAGAGCAGAGATTATTTATCGTCTTGCTGACTTACTAACGGACCAGAGGGAAGAAATTCTCTTGGCAAACAAGAAGGACTTAGAGGAGGCTGAAAATAAAGGTATTGCTTCAAGCCTTCCATAGTAATACTGTCATCTTGGACCTCTCTGGGCCTCAAGACAAATGAGCAGAACTAGAATCTTCTGTCACCTGGGATTGGGCAGTATTGCTGACACAGATTATTGAACCCAGGACTTTGAGAACTTGTCAGTGTAAACAGCTGTAGCCTCCTTCATTCATAAAACAGATGCCTTCATCAGAGAAGATACTGAGGCAGTGCAAAACACCAAGTAGTGTATGGTAAAAAATTTTTTAAAAAATGGAACAAATATCTCTGTTACTGTCATGAACAAAGTGAGTATCTTCTGAGCTGGTTAATGTAATGTTTGGTTCCTGGAGGGAAGGCTATCATCTCTACACTTAAATTGATGCTTGCCAAAGCATCAGTTGTCCCCTTCTGATTGAAGAAGGTTCTGTTTAGGTGCCTCAGATGAAACCCCCTCTTCTGTGTTAGTCTGATACATTCATTGAGAAGCTGGGATTGAGATGCGTACTTGGTGGCATAACAAGTATATGAAAAGGACACATCATGAATTGTAATACTATGTGGAAGGCACCACTGACCAGAGTATTTGAGGGGACATTTGCTGGGTTAACTTACTGTTTGAATGTGTTCAGACTATAAAATTCAAGTTGTTCTTGCCCAGTCTGCACAGAAATGCTATGTATGTGTCTGTGCTTTGATGTTTCTGTTTGTAAAACAGAAGGATGCAATTACTGCCTAGACCTTCCAGAAATACTGCAAGGGTAGAAGTTTGTAGGAAATTCAGTCATGCATTCAGTACATGAAATAGGACAAACCTTATCTTTCTGGATGTTGGTAGTTTGTGTGGTTGCTTCATGTACCGAGCACTTAAACCTCATTAATTGAAAATGTGGTGTGTGAGATACTCATCATATTTGTGGGATTTTATTGTGACTACTAGACTTGCTGCTATGCATTTTTAATCTCAGGTAGATTACTTGCTAGGGTGTGGGAAATATATTAATTTTCCTTAGGTTGAGCACTCATTTAAGTAATTTGTGCTTGAGCCTAGGAAGACCAGTCTACCTTCAGCACAACTTTTTCTTTCTTTTAGGGAGATTAGCCCTCCCTTTGTTGAAACGCCTAAGTCTGTCTACTTCAAAGCTGAACAGCTTGGCTATTGGTCTGCGTCAGATTGCAGCATCCTCGCAGGACAGTGTGGGCCGTGTAATTCGACGAACCCGAATAGCAAAAGACCTAGATTTGGAGCAGGTTACAGTGCCAATTGGTGTCCTTCTCGTCATCTTCGAATCTCGTCCTGACTGTCTTCCACAGGTTTGTAAGCTAGGTAGATTACACTGTTCAGTATTGCTTTTGGCAAGCAAACAAGAGACTACAAAAAGTATTGTTTCAAAGGACTCTTGCTTGGATTCTTCTACAGTTGATTTTTTTGGCATCACTGTTTTTTATGTAGAGGTGTTTTCAGGACTTGCTTCTGCAGTGTTCAGTTAATCATTTGTCTTATACCAGGAATAAGGCAATTATGTTAAGGGCAAATGCTTTCCTCTGCAGCACTGTGTGGAAGTGTTGCGATAAGTAAGTCCTGTTAAAAATGCATGAAAATATGGGTGCTTAACTAATGTTGCAGAGTCAACCTTGGTCTTACTTTCTAACTCCCGACTACTTTACTGAGCAACTGAAGTAGATTTTAAAATGAAAACAAACAAACAAAAAAAACCCGATTAGCAACATTTCTTCCCACAATTAACATTAGGTATCTAGGAAGCTTGATTGAGGAGTTTTCTAATGAGCAGGTTTTGAGTAGAAAATGATGGGTGTGAGGCTCAATGAGCGGACAGCTTCGTACTTCATGCCAGATTTTTGTGAGTAGTCCCTGCTTACAGTGAAAAGGAGTATGCAGTAAGAAAAGTTCCTATGAAACAAAAAGGCACTAGTCTTCCTTGACTACCAGCACTGTTACAGATAACCAGTATGTTACCTTGTTGAATTTGTGTCTGTCTTCTCTTTGTTGTATCTTAAAACTTACACTAGACTGACTCCTGCTGGCTTCCCTGCCCTGCCCTCCCTTCCCCTGCTTTGTTTTACAGACTTGGGATAGCTTGTCTTGGTAGTTGCTTTGCTTCTTGCTAACCTCCTGTCCTCATACTCACATTAGGCTTCCTGATGCAACTTCAGAGGATAATCTTTGATAACTCTGCATTTGAATTGCATGATTTTTGTCCCATCCTGTATCTGATAGTAGGAGGGTCTCTGATTGAGAGGAGCAGTCTCTCCTCTTAGCCTACTACTGCATCTCATGCTTGTTTGGGTTAAGATTTAATAAGCTTCAAGTGAGCATATACAAACAGCATGTTTGCCTCTAAAACTTACAGGGTGAAATTGCAAGCATCCCTCAGAGACTGTATTGCATAGATTCCACCAAATCCAGTTGTTCTGAAGTGTAATCATGTTCTACTAGTCTTTGAGACTGAACCATTTTGAAACCCCCTTACCTGGTGTTCTACTTTTAATCACAGAAGTTTTTGTGTCTTAATTCTTGGTATTTTTTGCTTTTCATTTTTTCAAACCAGGTCAAAACCTTTCTTTTAATCTTATGCCTCTTTACTTAAATCAGCTTATTTGTTTAGTTTCCTTTCGTGATAGTGATCTGGAGGGCCAGATAGAAGGTACTTTTGAAATACAATCAGATGGCTTTTTAATGTCTAATTATATAAGTTAAAAAGACGCATGATGGTTATGTAAGGCAGACTTCCCAGACAGTTACACTTCAGTGTGTTTTTCTAATATGTTTCTTATTTTCAATATTCTTTTCAAATGAGGTAGATTATCAAGCATTTTGATTATTATTACCTATTTGATACTAGAAGGGGAAAGATGTATCTGGCTGGTTATTTTATGAATCAGGATCTGAAGTGTGCCACCAAGCTCACTTCTTATTAGATGAGAGCCTGGCTAATTTTGACATCAGCATCTCAACAATATACAATAGATACTTTAATGAGTGTATGTTTGGTGAATATATATATATATATACAGGTGATGATAATGATACATACAGGTGATGATAATGATACTTTCCCAGAAGACAGTTATACAGCAAAATAACTTAAAATACCGAGTTTGTTTATTCTAAAGAGAATAAACTTAGCTCTGGAGAGGAGGTGATTTTGTTTTCCAAAGGAGTGCATGCTTTTAAACTTTTTTTAAGTAGGTGGACAAATTGTGAGGCCATAGTAAATGAAGTTGGAATGAGGAATACAAAAAAGAATACAAAAGTAAAATAAGTTTTGAAAAAGAGCTTTTTGCATGGGATGTACTCCAAGGTGGAAAGGAGCAAAACCCTCTTGCGTTGCTGACTTAAATGGGTGAAATCTAACACCTTCAACAGGAGGGCAGCAATATCTGTCGGTTTCTTCTGGTGATAAACATGGAAGCAAAGATGATGCTGGGCCTATTGTCTCAAATTTTTTATTATTTTTGCTTAGAGCAAGTGTTGTCTGTTTATGACTCCTGTTTTAGACAGCATGATGAAAATGTTTTTCCTGTTCATAGGAAGAGCTTATTTACCACTCTCTGCTGGAATGGTTAGAGACAAGAGTTCTTGCAGCTAAAGTTATTCTCCTTGGGGTAATTGCCCACACAACTGTGCAATTCATATGAAGCCCTATGTCCACAGTTTCTTCTGACTTGTTCACTGTAGTCTCTCCATCGCAAGAGTACCCTGAAAACTCAAGTTTGTTCTTGAAATTAGCGTATTTAATTTCTGGAGTTAAATGTGCTGCCATGAAAGGGAAACTAGATTAATATTTAGTAAATCAACTGAACAAAAAAACATGGTTTTATTTTGTAGGTGTTATTCTGACAAAAGAACCCCAATACATTTAAAGTTGGGGGTTTTTTTCCCAATAATAAACTCTTTTGACAGGTGTCTGCTTTGGCCATAGCCAGTGGAAATGGCTTACTACTTAAAGGAGGGAAAGAGGCAGCACATAGCAATCAAATCCTTCATCATCTGACACAAGAAGCACTCTCTATTCATGGAGTCAGAGACACAGTGCAACTGGTAAGTGCCTAGAGTTAAATCAGCTATTTGTTTACTATGGTTTGTATAAAAAGTGTGGGCAAAACCTGAGAGGTAAAACTGTAAGCTCTTTGTATTGCAACTCCCACAGGTGAACACAAGAGAGGAAGTAGAAGATCTCTGCCGTTTGGATAAGCTGATAGATCTCATCATACCACGTGGTTCATCACAGCTAGTCAGAAATATCCAGAAAGCGGCTAAGGGAATCCCAGTGATGGGTCACAGTGAAGGGATCTGTCATGTGTATGTTGACACGGATGCCAGTGTTGAGAAGGTCACACGAATAAGTAAGCTGTGGGAGGGTGACTTGAATCTCATGGGTGTAATTGAACTTTGGAGTATGCAATGTAGTTATGATAATTTATAATTTATATACTATCCAAAAATCTTTGTTGTAAATGCTATGTAACTAATGATGTACTCTTAAACCTCAGTCAGAGACTCAAAGTGTGAATATCCTGCTGCCTGTAATGCTCTGGAAACTCTCTTAATTCATCGAGACTTGCTGAGAACCCCGTTGTTTGATCAGATCATAGACATGTTGAGAGTAGAACAGGTTAGTCACTCATATCTGTGTTTTTTGTGTTTTTTGTCTGTTTTCTAAAACTTTAGAAGCATTTGGTCTGGCTATTTGTAGCCCTGCTTCCATGGCACAACATTTTAGTTACCCACATGTGTCTTTGTTCATGTCAATGAACTTTGGTTCTCCAGACGGCATCAAGTGTTTCTGTAGAAATGATCTGAAAGTAGCTTATTCAGTACAGCTGCAGGTGATTACTGGGATACCTTTGTTATATACTTCCTTGTATATAGCAAAAATAATCTTCTGCCATAAAAGCATAAACACAACCTTTTTCTACCTTTTCAAATTCAGTCAGATGCAAAGCCTTGTCTTCCTGAATCTATTAATTTAGCTTCTTACCCAAGTGAATTCCCTTCTGTTTTCATCCTTTCTGAATTTACTTCATACATGTGTTTTTTAAAATTTTCCTCTTGGATGCCCTTTGTTTCCACCCATTTTCCCTCCTGGTATGTCAAAGGATATCAAAAGGCCAGCATACTAATTAGTTGTCTAGACACAAGCAATGTTTTTTCAGTAACGATAGCAGAGATGCATCAGGAAGAAGTATCCATGAAGTAGTATGAATTGCACAAAAATCAAGGGTTTTCACACAGCACTATATATTTGACAAATAGAGTGCATAGGCAGTGATTAATGGAGGAGAGAGAAGTCATATGTTTTGATGCTGTTAAAAGGGTTATAGTAAAAGAAGCTGGTAAGTAGTCAAGGAGCAAGTTCTCAATGTTTGGGGCTCTTTAATGTCTAGATTAGTTGTTTCTTGGGAAGGGTAGAATGCAAGGTAGATGTTTGTATTTTGGATGGGAGGAATATGTGTACCAGTGCATTTCCACCACCAACCCTAACCGATCTCCTTATACAGTGGGGAAGATATTACCTCTGTCTAATCTGACCTGACAACAAGAAATATGCAAATATTGGGCAGGATTATGCAATTAAAGTAATTCATAGTTGCACAAGAAAATGCTGGTTTACAGATATTGTCTTAAAAGCCTTCATGTTTAGTAGATTTATGCCTTATTTCCCATTTATGCTTCTCTTGTCAAAATTTCCTGTTTGAATGGAAATTCATCTGCATGGAATTTCTGTGCTGTATCTGTTCTAAATTATCTCTCATTGTCTAGGTGTTTTGGCAGAGGTTGATAATGAAACAAATGAACAAATATAACAAATGAAAAATATCTGTGTGAGGTTTTTTGGTTTTGGACCCAGTAACTCCTTTGTGTCTTAGATGTGCTTCAGAGATGGCTGGTATCAATTAATAAAGTAAAAGGACAAAAGTAATTCAAGATCTTAAGATTTCTGTAGGTGCAAACTTGCAAGCATTCCTTTCGTTATTCTCTGCATTGCAGTTGCTGTCTTAAAACAAAGGCTGGTATTTTAGCTGTTTTCCTAGCAGTACTGTACTGGCCTTTTCTGCCTGGTGACTGAGTGATGCAATTGCTTTAAGTAATTTCAAATGAGTCCTGATTAGAGTTTGTCATGGTAGGTAGCCAACCTAGCATGTAGTTTGTTGTACCTCGTAACTAATTCACCTATGTGCCAAGTTTCCCAAAGTGTAGGTGTATTTCTCTTACACTGCATGCATGTTGTGGATTAACTGCACTCAGTGACTAAGCATCATCCAGCTGCTTGCTCTCCCCTGCTCCAAGTCCAAGTGGGACAGGAGGAGAAAATTAGAACAAAACCAAGGAAGCTTGTAGGTTGAAAGATAGCTTAATAAGTGAAGGAAAGAGGAAGAAGAAAGGGGACAAAGAGGAGGAAATAACCCAACAAAAAAGTAAACCCTGAAACAAAACTAAAAACCCACCAGCAATACCCACAAGGCAAAGCTAATTACTTGCTGTCTGCCACTAAAAAACAATGCCCATCCAGTCTCTTGGGCAATGCCTACCTTCTTCAAAAACCCCCTCCCCTCAGTTTGCATGTATTGCAGTACATGACATTATACAGCATGGAACACCCCTTTGGTCAGTTCTGGTCAGCTCTTGGCTGTATCCCCTCCCAAATTCCCGCACACTCCCAGTCTTCACACCAGGGGCCCAGAGTTGGAACAGGGAGGAAGAGAGAACCTTGATGTTGTGCAAGCCCTGTTCAGCAACAGCCAAAACATTGGTGTGTTTTTAACACTGGTTTAGTCACAAGTCCAAAACAAAACACCACAGGGACTGCTATCCATCCCATATTGAGTACAAGAAGCTACACTTTCACCTGAAAGGCTCTGGTTTGGTCAGTAGCCACAAACAAAATGCTTCTGGTGTTGCAGGTGAAGATTCATGCTGGCCCAAAGTTTGCATCTTACTTGACATTCAGTCCTTCAGAAGTGAAATCTCTGCGCACAGAATATGGGGACCTGGAGTGCTGCATTGAGGTGGTGGACAGCGTTCAAGAGGCTGTTGAACATATCCACAAGTATGGAAGTTCCCATACGGATGTTATTATCACAGAGAATGGTTAGTGACCTGGCTCCTTCTTTAAGCTGCTGTTTTGGTTTGACTGCTAATTCCTGGTGTTAGTGCAACTAACTACATACATTGTAGTAGTTCGTCTCTTGGGTCTGTGCCAGTTCAAAACCTTACTAGAGCTGTGCCAAGACAAAGGTTGACTCTCCAACCAAACCGAGCCCAGAACTTCTGTGAATCAGCTGCAGTTAAGGTCATGTTGATCTGTGGCTGGCCAGTGTGAGTCAAGTAGGCTTCTGTTTCTGTACTTCTTGCTGAGCTTAAATGCTTGTCACTAAAAGGCATGCATTCGATACCATAACTACTGCCACAGGACCTGGTGAACTAGTGATTTATATTGGAAATAGAGTTGCTCTTGAATGTCTGTCTTGTTGCTAAGGGCTACTGACCTCCAAGTTACTTACGTGTGGCATTTCTGCTTAGTAGTTCTCAAATAGTACTTGCAATAGCAATTGATTTTAGGATTTCTCAGTATTTGGAACAATTCCATGTTTGAGACTAATGGAGAGCTGACTGTAGCTTAACTATCTCCGAATGCTGTTCGGGGCAGCTGTTCTTTCTCCTTGGTCATGCAACTAAACCTCTCTTTAACTAAACTGAATGGAGTTAGAATTAGATATCTTTTTGCTTGCTTCTAATCTTTGTGAGCTTATTCTAAGACTTACAGTTGTGTCTAATTGGTAACCGTACTGGGAGGAAGGTAAAAATGAGCGTGGCTTAGCCCAGGCTGTTTAAGTACTGTCTGATAAGGTCACACGTGAAAGTTGTATTGTTATGTATGTTCACTGTTTTATGCAGTGTTTATTGGCATACACGATCATTCTATATGTAATGGATTTAATTTTTCTCTGCCTCTTTTCCAGAGAAAACAGCAGAGTTCTTCCTCCAACATGTAGACAGCGCTTGTGTTTTCTGGAATGCCAGTACCCGATTCTCTGATGGCTATAGGTTTGGACTTGGTAAGAGGGGAGATATTGTAGGGTTGTGACTGCAGAATTTTGTGGTGTGTCAACAATGTGACAGTATGACTCTTGAAAGATAGGATTAGTCTCTTATCTTACTGTCTAATAAAAGGTTTTCAGGAAAGGTACTGTACAAAACATTGAAGCCTAGAAATTTCATCCACACAAAGATATTTTGGATCCTTTGAACCTCTATTTAATTGCAATAAAGTATGCTGCATGCGTATAGTGATAGAACAATTCAATACAGGATGTGAAACTGCTGAACAGCTTTCCTTTTGTTTCTCCTTCTAATGATGCTGTAAAGAATGCTGTGCTTCAGTCCTGCTGGACAGATTGAGGTGCTGTCCAGTGTGTGAGTCCTGCTTTGTTAAGGAATGAAGGGTAGGAACTAAACTGAGTATCAACTGATTAAATAACCACATGCAGCTTCTGTGAATTGCAGAAGATAAAGGAAACATTCCTTGAAGAAGTAGAAAATCAGAAGTCTTTACTACACGCTATTACTGTGTTAGCTGGAACAGTGTTCCATTTGACTGAAAAATTCCAGTTAAGGTCTTCCAATATCTCCTCAATGTGATAAAAAAGGACGCAAGATCATAATCTTTACTAGTTTAGCTTTTTTTCTTGTTTGAAGGATTATGCCTTAGATCAGTGTAAGAGCAATGTAGGAGATACCTCTCTCTCTCTCTTGCATCTTTCTTTCTGAAAGTAACTGTAGTAGCCAGAAGTATAAGCATTACAATTTATAATTGCATTAATTGCAATTTATAATAGCATTATAATTTATAGTTAATCTCCTCAAGCTTCTCTATTGGGGAAATGGAACTGGTATTTGGAGAGGAGCAGAGAGAAAATGGCAGTTCCCTGAAAGGCAGGCAGATTTTTCTACTTTGAGGTACAAAAACATTTAGTATGAAGTGGACATCGTCAGAGGATTAACTACCTTTATTTTGGGTGTTTCCTGCAGGTGCTGAAGTGGGAATTAGTACTTCGCGTATCCATGCACGTGGACCAGTGGGAATTGAAGGACTCTTAACAACGAAGTGGTTGCTGAGGGGGGACAATCATGTTGTTTCTGACTTCTCAGAGCATGGGAGCATGAAGTATCTTCATGAAAGCCTCCCTCTCCCTCAGAGAAATGCCAACTGAAAACACTGGGGAGAAAACCCAGGATATAATTATTTCCTGAAGTTATTCAGGCTTCAGGATAATCTCTGACGGTGAAGGAGTTTGTTTTTCATCGTCAGAAACATTGTCCTTGGTCATTTTGCAGTGCAATGAATACAAAATTATCCCATCAATGAGAATTCTCCCCCTCCCACCCCTTTCACTTTCTTTAGACAGTATCTGCAAACTGACCTCACTTCTCCCAAAGACAGATTTTTTAAATCATATAGGTAACATAAGGGTTTCAGTATCAACTACATTCCTTTTTTATCACAGTGCTCTCTGTAGCAAATATGTTTGGTGATGGAGCTTAGTTTTTTTTTTCTAAGTTTTTTTATTCAAGTATCTGTTCTGGAGAACAGACTCAGTAGTTTTGGTTTTGAGGGTTTTTTTCTTCAGTCTTAGGATCATGGCCTCTCTTGAGGGCCGGAAAGCTTTATGCTTAATTTCTTTGTATTTGATCAGTCTTGAGATAGGGGGACAGATGTTCCAAATGTATAGTAAACTTTTGACCAAAAAACCTTTTATATCTAATTCTTTGTATTGTTGGCTATTGTAGATAAAAAACATCATTGTCTGCTACATTAATTTTGTTACTTATTTGTATCAAAGGTTTATTTTTCTTCGGTTTATATAAAACTTACTCCAACAGCATTTTGATCATGGCTTGACCAGAATGAAGCTCTCCACTTGCACGAACACTTGTGATGGTGCCCTGCAGCCCCACCACACGGCTGGCAGCCAGAGCTCCCCTGTGGCTGCAGAGCTCCCCTGTGGCTGCAGGACATCCCGCTCTCACCTGGGGGGTCCCGGGGTGCTCCTGCCCCATCAGGGCGCTGTTTCCTTTCCTGCCAGCTGCTCTGCGCTGCTGTCCTGGCATGGCTGGTGGACGCACCGTGCTTGGGATCCGGTGCTGCTGCACCCCTTTCTCCAGTCACAGGGGCGTCACGATGGGCGCAGGGTGCATCTCCTCTCTGAGCAGATGCCGTAGGCTGCTGGACATGGGTGAGGCGAGTGAGACGCCTCGGTAGGTGTGGATGGCTCTTGTTCGCCGAAGGTGGCACGGCAGGAGAGCTCAGACTGGCATCGGAGGGTTGCAATGCAGAGGCCACGATGGGGGTTTTGCCTGGTCATGAGGGCCATGGTGCTGTCATGACCATGGTCAGCGTGTGCAGGCAGCCCCAGGTGCACGGACGCCCAGCAGTGCGTGGGCCCCAGAGCAGGGCAGTGGTGCTGAGGCTCCCCTGCCTGGGCTTGCTGGCGAGTAGTAAGGAAAATGGCTTAAGAACCCCATTCCTCTGAAGTGAAGGTGAAGGAAGGATGCTGAGGGGGGGTGATGTCTCTGTGGAGAGGGGGCAAAGTTGGGAATTGCAGGGAGGGGTTTAAAGTCAGTGTAGGGGACAGAGCTGTTCAGGAGCAATTCCCTTGGAGCAAGTCAAGGGAGCAGGTTAGTTCTCAGCAGGATGTGAGAACTGTGCCAAGGAAAGCAGTTCCAGCATGTGTCTGCGTTGTATAAACTCTGTTAGTCTGTCTTCTGCATTGTACACTGTACCTTCCTCGGGTCTTGATGTCTCCATAGCTCTTAGTGATCACTGGGCACCTTGGTAGCCTTCCTGCAAGTCACAAGTGCATTGCCATATCAGCTTAGTGCCTGTCAAGCCTTTCTTGTCTTGCAATTCCAGCTTAAGGTGTGGATCTGTCTGGTGTCTATCATATTGTAGATTTTTCTGAGCAGTCATCCCTCACAGTGGTGAGCCAGGTAGTGCCTTCAGTTCCATTTCTGTGAGGGTTTTTTTGACAGAGTTGTCTCCAGGGATTGCATCCCCATGTCCATAACAGTCTTTTGTTAAAGCTTGGCTTCTTGCTCATCCATCATTCTGCTTTTGATGGCTCTCATCCACATCTCTGCTGATGGCCACAGCAGTCACCACTTTCCGGGGCTGCTGTAGAGCGCCTGCGCTGTCAGGGCACTGTTGGATCTCTCTGCTGGTGGGTGCCATATTCCCTATGGAAGTCATTGCTGCTTGTGCACTTATTGCAGCTCACAGTCACAGTGCTTGCGGTGTTGGGTGTCTGTGTCACGGTTGCAGCTGCCCTGCCCAAGGGTGGAGCAGTACTAAAGACAGGGTAGCACAGCCTCAGGGTGGTGTATAATAGTATGTTGACCTATGTAGATACTTTGGTCTACTATGTAGACCATATGGTTAATCTCTGGGCTGTAGACAGCACGCACAGTTATCTTTGTCTTTTGAGGGTGCTAGGCTCTAGCCTTCAGTGAGCAGTAGCTGGTATGGTAGTGGAGTGGCTGGATCTTGAATGTGCCTTGCCTTTTACAGGTGGGGCTCAATATCTGGGTTCTTGGGTTCTTTTAGCTGTGTTAGCAGAGAGTAAGCTAGAACTGGACAAATATTTGATAGACCTTTACTTGTCATGGATTTCAAAAACAGAATGTGAATTTGAGTGCTCAAGCATTTCTAAGGAATTATTAAAGCCTACAGGCTTTTAGTTAAGGTAAAAACTCTACTCCTTTTAACTGCCCACTTGCCTGATGAATTCTTTGGTCAAATCCTGGAATTTTATCTTTTAAGGTTTGGGAAAAAAGTTAAAAGCCTTACAAAAAAGACCTTGTGTTGAGTGTGAGGGTGTGAGAGCACTGATCAGGTTTTATTTAACCGTAAAGGTTAACCAACAATTTTAAAGTAATTTTTTAAAATTTCATTATGGTTTTCTTTGCAAGTGCACTTGTTCTCATCCAAAACACAGTTTAGTAGCTAGAAAGTTGCTGTTTTTCCATGTTCTGTAGACAAAATGGAATTGTCCTCAGAGTTTCTCGTCTCTTATAGACTGAGACTGAGATAGCCTGTGAATTAATATGTGGGTGATATTGCGCTGCAGTGTAGAACATTTCACTTTAGATTGAAATCCTGTTAGTATTATTGGAGTTCTCTGATGAAAATTTGATCAATATAATTTCCTAAGTCAACTGTGATTTCTAAAGATCTTCTACAATTATAGGTTAAAAAAGGTGTATATATGGAGTGTTTCATAATGCGGGTGTATTTAGTGCCAGAGACAGACAAAATTGTGCTGAGTCAAAATGTGAATTAAAGCATTTTAGTCGTGTATGTTACATGATGGTAATATACAAAGCAGTTGTAGTGTTCTAAAACATTCCTACAAGCAGATGTTTAAGACAACTGCAGAGGTAAACTAGCTTTGTGGTTAATTTGGGGATCTTTTTGTAACCAAACTCCTGAGCAGGAAGAAAACATTGCTGAAGCTCATGCTAAAGAAGTCTGAATGGTGAAGAATTAATGCCCGGTAAAAGACGTTGAAATGCAGTACTCTTGCTTTAAAGAGCAGAGCAAGCACTTCTCTTGCGTGGCTGTGGCCGTGGCATATTTGTAATGAAACCCGTTGCAGAGCCAGCAGCTCTGTGCACGGCGGTACCGTTTACAGCCGCAGTACAGTTCGGGGGCTGTTACCAGCAGAGCCCGTCTCCGGGTGCAGCAGGTCGGGCCCGGGTGCCGGCGGTGGGCGCGGGCCGGGGCGGCGCTGAGGGCTCGCACCATGGCGGGCGCGGGCGGGCGGGCCGCCGCCTCGGCCACCTCGGAGTCTTACACGGGCCGCGGCTCTTCCACGCCGGGTGTTGGCGGGCGGACAGAGCACACACCCCGCTACACCCTGGGGCTTCTGCAGACGCCACACAGCTCGGAGAGCACCGGAGGCGCCTCCAGCGGCGGGGCACGGCCGGGTGGCTCCAGCGAGGAAGGCCTCGCCGCTCGCCGGGCTGCCGGGAACAGCGCCGTGAAGCCGTCCGTGTCCGAAAGGGGAGGTACGCTCTCTGCCCGGGCCTTTATCTGTTTCTTTCTGCTGTCTTTGCTCGGGTCGGGTTCGAAGGAGCTGTTAAAAGCGGTCCTTACTGAGATGGGGCAGGTGCAGCTAAGCTTCATAGCGACCTTTGTCATTTAGCTGGACAGAACTATGGAAATAGTTCCTTGATGTAGCTGAGCTCTCTGGTGGGACCAATAAACGTGTTTGAATTGCTGCACAGCGTTTGCTTTACAGGAGAGAACCGAAACATGGGTTTGTGTTTGATTTATTGGTTGTTTCAGGAGTTTTGTTGCTTTTTGGTTTTGTTTTTATTTTTACGCCTGGCTTTGAAATAGTTTTAAGAGCCTGTGGGTGTCAGTGTGCGGTAAGAATGTTGTGTTCCTACAATGCAATACTGCTACTTGCCATTCTTGATAAAAATCTACTATCAAACTCTGTATCTTGGTGGCAGCAAAAAGAAGTTAAAATTGTAGTAATTTCAGACGAAAAGAAACTATGAAAAGAGTTGGAAATTATTGTAACGCTGCAATGAATTCTGATGTACGTCTATCTCCATTGTGTATAAATTGGAAATGAGGTAAAATGTGTTTAGGTATTATATATGACTACTGAGGAGTCCTAAAAAAAAAAAAAAAAAACCCAAACACAATGCTAATTCAAACAGGACGATCTAAATGTTGAGTTTGAGAAATAGCTGTATATCACTTGGTTCATTTGGTCTTTTAAATTACTGGTTTTCCCCGTTATGCCAGATTCAGTGCCTTCTACAGGAAGTCTCTTCTGCCAAAATTCTGACTGAACTTAGGCCAAAATCTGAGTGAGTGCTATTTAAAAAAAATATGCTGATATGTCCACTCCTAAAGAAGTCTCCAACCAAAGATCTGAGCTAATATTTTTATCACTTGTCACAGTTTTAAGATTAAAAAAATCTCCCAACCAAACAAACACAAAGAAAAGCCCACCTCACCTGAACAAACTCCAGAATTCCAGTACAGTAGATATTTTTCTACCAGCCAGCCTCGATAAAGACTCATGCAATTAATTGATCATTGAAAACCATTACTTATGTATTTTGTCTTGTGTGTCAGTTTTTAGTGTAATAGAAGAAACAGAAACATTTGTGCTTGCATGTTTTATAATACATGGAGTTTTTAAAGTGGATCTGCTGTTTATATTTTCATTCATTTTTTAAATCTTAGCAGTTATCTAAGCTAAACTAAGAATGTCTTCAGTAATCTCAAGAGAATTAAAAAGAAGTAAATTACTTAAATATTTTATTGAAAATTTAAAGTGTTCTGAGACAAAGATATTTTGCAGGACTTTAAAAACGTAGGTAGATCTCAAATACATGTGTGAAAGAAACTGCTGTTAACAAATACATCCCAGATTACTGTATAATTTCCGAGAGTTGATCCCCATAAATTCATAGGGTTATCATTCCCAAGTGGTTCTTTTTCTTCTTTTATTGTCCTACTTTTCAAAAGGAATGCTCAACTTTTAAAAAAGGATTTCATAAACACGTGTGCAGTTTTAGATAATGATTTTTCAAATGATGGGTAAATCTGAGATAAAGTTGATTTAAAGCATTCTTTCATAAATTTAGAATTCATTAGCATATGAGATGATACTTAGTAAAGTGACTTCTGTTGTATTATTTCTGTTCAACCATGTAATTATTTTTTTATTAGCACTGCAGGTAATCTCATTGTAAAAAATAATTTTAATGCAAGCTTGTTTTCAAAGCAGTCTGATTTATTTCATTTTATACTCTGGAGAGCTTTCATAGAATGACATTTTGTTTGGATATCTCTATTTTTGCT